CCGTCGATGATGCGATGGTGGATCGGGTGCTCCTACAGGACCATTTGCACTGTGCTTAGTGTGTTTCATTAACGGATTGAGTTCGGGAGATTCCTTAGGGCCAAGAAAATCGCCAGCATTGAAACTGGGTCGCCTGCAAATTGGTAATACTCCTGGGAGATTATCCAAGAGAGAGCTGATAGCTGTGGTAGCATCTGTCTGACGGGGCGGTTCCCCTGCCGATGAGCTTTGGTCTTCGTTCAGCTGACGTCGATATATCCTGGCGACCTCCCTCCAGTGCCGATATAGGGATACCTGCTGTGTTGAGTACAAGTGAGGCAACGGCTTGTAGGGGTTCATTGCCAGTAAGACGTTTGCTGCGTAGGTGTAAATATCGTCACGAAGGTACCGATGCTGTAACAGCTGAAGGAGAGCTGCGGCAGATAAGGTTCCGCAGCAGGCGGTGTCATCTGGCATGGGGTGGGGCGGCAGTGGTGGTGCACTATACGGCCACAGCTGGTTTACTGGTACTTCAAAAGGTGGTTTGGATATGAAACTTGAGCTGACATGAGCAGCAGCAGTCTCAGCTGCGTCTGCCGCTTGGCGCTCTATCTGCGCTGCTGAGCAGGAGGGGCTCAAAAAATTGGGGACTTTTTCGCTGGAAAACCGTTGCGGAGTGTCTGCGTCAACAGCTTGGGGTCCAGTGACGCGGGGATCTGTACATTCTTGTGCAAGAACGTGCTGTGTTTGCTCTTGATCCGTATTTGGAACTTCATAGTCGAATCCAGGTTCTTCGGCAGAATTTTTCGATTTGAGCACGTATGAAACGCTTTGGCGCTCGTGCCTGCCTGTATCTCCACTTTGTGAAGTGCAGAGATGTGAAGGATTGTGGTGCTGCCCCAGCATGCCATCTCCACCAACAGATGGGTCTGCCGCAACGGTTGTAGGGGTAATAACACGAGAGGTGGCCTCTCTGACCACTAAAGCGGCTGCCTCTGCCGCAGCCGCGCTCCGGGCATCCTCGGGATGAACCTCCACAAAAGCCCGTCTGGTACTTGAGTCCACATATGATACATTCACTGTTGAGAAACCATAGTCTTCGTTCTGAATCCACGCTAAAGCACCAACGTGAATGTCTGCACTTGGCAATGCATGTGAGCCGCCGCCGAGGGTTCCCTTGGACTCCGCGACCGCCCCAGGCGGCGTCACCATTCGCTCAACAATGCAAGTCAGGAGCCCACACGGAATTCAGAACAGAGTTAGAGGAAGTCAGAATGGCACTCCCCGTGCCCTTGCAGTTAACGCTCCAAATAATCGACCTGCAAGCTGCCGCTGCTTCGAGTTCTCCTGCTCATCTGCCTGCTTGGCGTTTCCGGCACCCTGTATGGAATACACCCATAACACCTAAACTTCCTACCAAAACACTTTCATGAGCGGTATGAAAGCATGGACACTGGTGAGCTGGTGATTTCAAGAACAATCATGTGGGTCTGTTGTGCAACGCTGGTTGTCCAGGCAAATATGGTCTCGATAATCAACAGCGCAGGCATCAAGCCCAGGATTCCCACAAAATGATGAAAAGGTAGAAAAAGACGGGTTGATGAATTAAAAGTTCATTATTTCACTCTTGGGACTGGTGACGAGGAATTGAGTAAGGGAAGCCATCCGACGTGACCAGTATCAGTAACCAGGCGGTCGGCAGTGGACGGGCACAGCTGCGGCCTCGGATAACGGAAGATAACCTCCTTTTTACAGCAGTTTTCCCTGTACTGATGGGTGAAATATTTGTTTCAGTATCACAGCTGTTTGGCTCTTCCTTTTTAGCAAAAGACTCGCTCGGCCCTTACGGTTTCGCAAAGGCGCGGGCAGGTCACCTCGGCTACGCGGCTTCTCCCCAAATACAGCTCGGCTACGGCGTTAGAGTTACGTTTTTCGGTTTTTGAGTTTTTCCGTGTTGGGATTACTGGCCGAAAAAGCTCAAGTACCTTTGGCTCGCCGCCGGCCGGTTTGGGGACATCCTCGTGCCTGGCTGATTGTAGAAGGCGTGAAATTGGCTATTTTGAGGTTATTGAAGCCCTGGTAGTGCAGATACAGAACTGGCGTTTGCCGAAAATGTAGCTAAAAGTTTAATCTCCAGCCCTTGGACGATCTCCAATACCCATCAACATTCAGCAACGCACGCGCGCGAAGGATGAAAGCGATGAAGGAAAAACTTGTTAGATGAGAAACGTTCCATAACATTTAATATTTTTCGCATCCTATGGTGCCCAGAGGTCAAACAAATAACGAATAATCGGCTTCTGTTAGTAGGCTCAGGTGCGTCCTATGCAGCAGTAATACTGCAAAAGTTGCCGACAACCGGAGAGCCCAAAGAATGGGCAGTGTGCGAAGCAAGTGAGCCAATATTTTCTGAAGCATCAGTGTGAATATCCACTGTGAATTAGTATGGCAACTGATCATGCTGCCAGCTGGGACTTGAATTGCCAACGACCAGAAGGTTACGAGCATCAGTAATTCAAGATGTTGCTGGCCATACCCAGAACGCGCTCTCATACGCATATACCTGCTCCCCAAGAAAAATACATTGGGAACCTATCTTGTCTCAAACTCTCTAGAGGCCAGATTAACTTTGTACCGCATTATTTATACGGGGGTGCCCGAAATAATTTGTGTCTGCCGATGGAGGGGTGCGAGCTACAGGTAGCGAGCTACGGGGATGCTTTACAAAAGGGTTGCGCGGGTTTTGCTAGGTCAATACCTTATATATATTCTTATATTTCCTCGACTGATGTGCTTTGCATGGCATCTGCCTTGGAGGTGGCGTGGCACCAAACGCTAATTCCGCCCACTAGCAACAATTGCAAAAGCACGGCAACCAACGAAATATAACTATTAAGTACAGTATATGCATGCACCTACAATTGGGCGAGGGAATATATGAGGATAGAACTCTGTTGACATTTTGATACTGGAGGGTATTAGCATGGTGAAAGGTGTTTTGAATCAGTTCTCTTCGGACCAGGCCAACCAAATGGCGGCTGGTTGCTGGCATACGTCTGCGAGAAAAAAAATGTGAGCCAATGAGGCAGGAGAAATGCAATTTCTGTACACTTCGAGAACAGAATACAATACTGAAGGATGCGAAGTATATGCCCTGAACACTACGCAGGATAGTCTGAAGAGTAGGGGTCAGTTGGGCAAATCGAAATCTCCAACGTGGCGCCAGTTTCCTTTTTCGTCACCCAGCAGTAAACTGAATACTCCCGGGGGCCGAAGTGTCTGCGACAGGAACCAAAAGCAAGAAGCAAACATGTTCTGTCTCATAATAGCTGCTCACTGCCGGGGGAAGCCTACCGTTAGCTGCTTCGGACACTAAGGGGGCAGCTTACGACAGAGGCCAAGGCACCCGAATTCAGGCAGGCCACAGCTAAAACTTGACCTATTGCATCTTTATTGTTCGCCAGCGGCTGCAGCGTGTGGGGGTCCAGTGAGCGGACGACTCTCCCGGTGCTCTTGTCCACAATGGCCACCCGGTAGGATTTGAAATCTCGGGTGAGGGACCCGATTTGACCATGCAGACTTCCCGCATCATTGGGCATTCGAGGCTTCACTCGCTGTTGATCAGCTTCGCAAGAGCCTTCACTCGTGCTACCCTCACTGTCCGCGTATCCAATAGTGCGATCAGGGTCATTTTCTGCAGGCGTGTCAGATGGCTCAGTGGATAGCAGAGAGTCTGCCTCCCACGGAAACGCTCTCAACAAGCGGCCGGTGCTTTCATTATCGACCCCTTGGGGGCCAGTACAACAGCTCTGTTTCCCTGGATCCTCTCGCAGGAACTGGAGAACAGGAAACGGCAAGCGGATCTGATCTAAGAGCACAAGATTCCCCGATCCGGTAATCAGGTCGGAACTCCTTTCACTCCACTGCAGCAACAGTAACGAATTGTCTGCTGCAGAAAGCAACAACAGCCGCTGCATCTTGGCCTCTAGAGACCTTGCCACTTCGCCAAAAGGCATCATCTGTAAAGCCTGAATTATCGGGTCCGTGCCAATGACTGAACTTAGATGTGGCGGAGCCAGGCGGGTGTAGGTGCATCCCGTCAACCACACATCTGCGAGTTCTAGGGTCATCCCGTTCACGCGCTGCAGGATACGCAATGCACCACAATGAAAAGAAATCAATGAGTGCCTCACGAAAGCAGAATGGCAAGGCGATAGTAGTGGATGGACAGTCCGTAGGGAGTTGAGGCTCTCGTTAACAGCATGTATTACCGGGATGGAGGGCATGTTCCATAGTAGGCGCAGCGGAGGGTCTCTGGTGCCAATCTGGCCTTCCACCTCCGCTGGTGGATGATGTAGGAACCTGAGGTTGACCGAGAAGATAGCCAAGAGAGAAGGACCTGTAACAGCCCATAGGTTGCCCCAAAGAGGCTGTAGGCGAAC